CTCGAAGTCGGACCAAACGTGCCGACACTGGAGTCGTACCCATGCCAATCATCGCCCGACGTTTCCCCCTATCGATCACGAAAATTAAATGTCTCCCAACGTCCACCCTAGCCGACCCACACAACATAGGATCCTTACTTCCAACCCAAACACCCCCGGGCATCATAAAACTAAAAAATTCAACACCACCTTCATGGGGTATGAAACACGAATTAAAATATGACAAAACTGTGTCAAACTCATGCCCCATGTAATTCTCTATACTGCACAATGCAACCACCAAGAACACATCAAATTCAACGGTATTAATAGCAACAATTACAGCTTCATCCTCTGGCATCGGAGGCTCCTCATCGAAAATCGACGGACCGTCGTACAATGGTCCGTCATGTTGTTCTCCATCCAAATCGGGAATGTCCACGCGAAACGGGCCCTCCCATGGACCATATTCGTGATCATGTACCCAATCGCGTCGGGCCCGATATCCGCCGGCGAAGACAGCCTCCTCGCGCCTGCCTTTGTCGTCGCGTTGATCGTAGCCGTCCACGAAGCCGTTCAGAGGTGGTGGGGACCACTGCCGGGGCGCCCCGACATGGTTGCTTCCCCCATAACCGCCTCTGTCTCCCCCGCGAAAGCCACGGCCCACAGTTCCATCGCGGTTCGTTTGCAATTCCGAAATAACCACGTTGTTAAGCGTCAAATGCGAATCCTCGATCCCCGTCGAAAGATCGGCAAACCAATTCGTGAAACGCACGTCCAACTCTTGAAATCGGTAGTCAATCTGTTGAAACCAATCGTGGAAGGTGGCATCACGTTGGTTGTTTGCAGCATCTTCTCGTCCCGGCGACATCGCGAATCGTACTGACTACTGATACCAACTGATGTAGGGAAAAGCGTACGGATGAGAAGGATAAAACGAGGAGATACTCTCTCCAAAACACGGGATACTCTCCCAAAAGAAAACACGATATCTTATTTCATTCAATATTCAACTCCCAGATAACAAAGACAAAAAGTCTTTAAATAAGACACTACAACCCTAAAAGCAAACTTGTCCACCAAGCTACTAACTATTGATAATAATAATAATAATAATAATAATAATAATAATAATAATAATAATAATAATAATAATAATAATAATAATATATCCGCATCACAAACATATGAATTCTTCACCATTGTTTGTGAGTAACCTTAGATTGATGTTCTGTTTTAAGGGATTTTGATAATATCTTGCTTTAGGATTTCACCTTTTTTTTCTTCACTTTGACATACATGAAATACTAATAGTTGAGTAAATTATTGGATGCCAAACATATGAATTCTTCACCATTGTTTGTGAGTAACCTTAGATTGATGTTCTGTTTTAAGGGATTTTGATAATATCTTGCTTTAGAATTTCACCTTTTTTTTTCTTCACTTTGACATACATGAAATACTAATAGTTGAGTAAATTATTAAGTCCTTTGTGAAGAAATAGAGGGAAATGTAACAAGTCATTTCTTTGTATATTGATATTTTAATTGCATGTGGTGATACATACATACATGGGATCTCTTCGAATTTGAAAATTTATGTTGGAAAAAATCATTCATTGTTTGAATGTTGGTTTTTTGTTATTTTTCATAATCACTGTGATGAAAAAAAAATCTTGTTAAGAAATTGATTTCTGTGATTTTTTATTTCACCTTGGCTCGCCCTTCAATTGAAGTGTTTTGTTATGTATGTTATTTCTTCAAATTGTTGATTCTCTATGTTAAATTTGGTTACCACTATTTTGATAGGCAATGTTCAAGGGAGAAAGAAAAGGACCCTAACTAACGCTGAACGTTGGGCATTTTACCATGCGGAGTGTAAATGGTAAATTGAAAAATAATACAACAAAAGAAGTGAAATATATGTTCAATATTGAGGAGCTGCGAACAATTCAAAGAATATGGAAAATTCACAAGAGAACTCCACCAGGCTCAGATGTGGATGTTTCATCGAGAAAGGCACGAACTGTGGTCGTAAACGAATTGAGGTGGATTTAAATAGAATTCAACAGATAGAGTGGCAGCAATGAACAAAACTTGCATCTCTTTCTAATGCTTTAGGAGTTAGTTGTTCCAAATTGTACAACCTTTTCAAGTGAGGCATTCTACGTCGTCACTCAAGTTCCATCAAACAACATTTGGAAGACGAAAACAAAACATCACGACAAGAGTTTTGTTTATCGATGATTGATGAAAGCACAACGTTGAACGAGCCAAAGCTTAAGGGAATGTATAACTATGTGCACATCGACGAGAAATGGTTTCACATGAAAAAGAATGAGCAAACGTATTACCTGCTCGACAATGAAGAAGATCCTCACCGTTCATGCCAAAGTAAAAATAACATTGAAAAAGTCATGTTTCTAGCAGCCACGACTCGTCCTAGATTTGATGGTGAAGGAAGAGTAGTATTTTCAGGCAAAGTTGGATATTGGGCATTTGTGACAGAGCAACCAGCTCCAAGAAATAGCAGGAACATGCGAGCTGGCACGATGGAGATGAAGGTGGTCACATCTGTTAAAAGAAAGAATGTGAAAGCATTCTTTATTGAAAAGGTTATCCCAACTATTATTAAAAAAATGGCCTACCTCTGGAGAAACTATTTATGTCCAACTAGACAATGCTAGGACACACGTTGTAACGCCCCACTCTCATTTTAAAGAAATTTGGACTTTCTAAAAATCAAGACATAATTTTCGAAACTCATTTTTCGATTATTAACATAAACATGGACATTAACGATCATTTCACAATATAATTCAAGTCATATCTGAACTCTTAGGGATTCATTACCCGGTTTTTCACATGGATTTTATTATCCCAAAATAAATAAATCAACATGATATTCAACGTAGCATATTAGCATGAATAACCAGTTCAACATGTTCCATAAAGAAACAAACCAACTCATAGGGTTCAAAACCAATCCACAATTCAACATTTTCAAAACTTCATAGTTTGAAAGCAAACCGACATGTTCATAAAACCAATGCAATAGGTTCATGAAACCAATCCAACATGTTCATAAAATATTGGAAGCAAATAAACATAAATGAGGACTAGCCACTCGTCCCATCACCGCCATGCTTCCCACCTGCTCAACCAGGAAAGGGAGGGGGGGGGGACATGGGAGTGAGCACATACCACTTTGCTCACCCCTATGCACATAAATCATATATATAATGACAGATAGGTATGGTCGCAGCATGAACATAAATCAATCGAAATGTCACGTCCAGATCACATCATAACATTACTCTTGTGTACACATCTTTCATTAGCCACGGAATGGGATTCATTACCCAACATGTTGATAACTAATTTTGGCCTCGCCTATTAAAATGTTACACGTGGATATATATAATAGCAGGTTCTTTTATCTGATTTGTATTGACCGAGTTCCCAGAAGATTAAGGCGGTCCACATCCAAAACCAATCAGAATTCAATGACAGAATTCAATGATGCCAGCTCGACCCAGATATCTCAAAGAAGTCACTTTGACAGACACGTCAAATTGTCCACAAGACAAATGCCAATTGAAGTGCCAGTTAATCCAATTATTTATTGTAATTAGGCCCTGCGCGGTCATATTTATTACTGGACCCTGCGCGGTCATTTGATTAATACATGTGTATTGTAAAAGCTCCTTAGATATACGGGCCCATATTAGCCCAAATATAAAGATATATATATGGGCTAAAGAGATAAGTCAGAGAGGTTTTTTCATTCTCTTTTCCCTTATCAAAAACAGAGGCACCGCCTCTCTCATGTTTCTTCTTCCTGGAGCATCTCTTGAACATACAAGAAATAAAGATCTTCTTCTTAAATTCTTTATCATTTACCAACACCAAAACATAAGAAAAAGGGATAGATCTTCATCTCCCAAAAATTACAAAAAACTCATATTAATCCTACACCTATTATTCAAGAAATGGGGGTGTATATTTTTGTTGTTACAATTTCACATAACAACACAACAGTATGAGTACATGTCGTGGCCTCAACATTACCAACGACACGACCTTTCATTAGGACTTAGGGAGATTACCTTTCATTAGGCATCGTATTACATTGACGGGGACAACCGTACCGAGGACCAAAACGACACACATCAATAGGCTACATAGTTCACATACATACATTGATCATACTGCCCAGCAAGACAAACAATTTACGGCATAGAAATTTAGAATAGCCCACCTGGATATCAAAGTAGCAAAATGCACACAAAAGCAGGTACGTAGGTCGAGGACTCAGCTCGTCAAACACCTACATTTATCAAGATAGTCCTATCAATATACTATCCCGACACTTAGAGTCATTCACAACATTTTCACTTAGCTGAACATTATCGACTAAGTGATTCGTGGAGTTTTTGTGGAGTTTGAAACCTTTGGATTTACCAAATAGACTCGAAGGACCAACTAAATATCATTTAAGACTGACTTGACACGAAAAACAAGGTGACGGGTCATAGGAAAGTCAAATAAGTTAAAAAAAGTCAAAACGGGGCTCGATTGGTGCAACTGGGGACTGCTGGCACGGGCCTGGGCACGGCTGGATGCTACGACGCGACATGAGAACTATTGGGCGCGGCCTGGGCACTTCTGGGGCGCGGGGCTGGGCTGCTGGCAGTGCCCCGGGCAGATAGGGTGCAAATATACTTACCGAGGTTTCGGGAGTTTGGCTCGAGGTTTTCATTTCAATTTTTTTTACACATAACAGAAAACACAAAAATACACAATTACACCAAAGATTGACCCCTTAACATCAACCTAACTCGGACAAATAATTTTTGCAAAAACATGCTCAAAATATGAAGTTACGACGGTTCAAGGAAAACAAAACAACGAACTTCGGGCGACTCACGCTCGACCTTGGTTCATGTCGTACGGTTGAACCTGGTCAAGTTTCTCACGGTGGTTCGCAGTTGCGGCCCGATGCCGACAACTTGGTCGACTCGGGAATGAAGAAAACGTATGACGGAACAAGCGGGTCGAAGTCAGACTATCGAGCCGAGCTGAGATACACGACGGGGAGTTCCGATGAGCGATGTTTCACGCGGAGTCGTTCGCGAGAAAACAACTGAACACTGCGGCTGCTGGGCACGGTGTAGCATAGGGTCGTGGTTGTTCACTGTGACGGGGGGATGTTGCTGACCGGCGGCAGGTCTGGCAGCGTACACCAGGGCGGCGACGGGCTGAAGAGGGTCGCGAGTACGACTTGTAGGGGATCGATGGTAGTCGTTGGCGATGGCGTGCGCTCGCCGGCGATGGGGGAAAAACAGCAAAGCCGAGGCGGGGTTCCTTCGCGGCTGGGCTCAGTCGCGCGAGTTGGTTGCCAAAACAATTGCTGCCCACAGCGGCAGGCTTGCCGAGACAGGAAGCGGCGGCGACGGAAGGGTGGGGGTGGATGACAGCGATGCGGTGGCCGGTGGTGATGCTATGTTGAGATCTGAGTGAGAAGTCGCTATCGAGAGAGAGAGAGAGAGAGAGAGGATGATGAGATAAGTTCTCTCCCGGTTCTGCTCTTGCTCTCACGTAAATGACTGAGAAAAACAAAGTGTTTTGGAAAAGTTCTATCTTGTTGGGATAGAGATTGAGATTTAGTGAGAATAAGATTCTCATGCCTTAATTTAATATGGTATATTGGAAATAGAATAGAGATGATTATTTCCTTTCCAAAAACATTCCTCCTTATAAATTTGGGTTTCAAGAAAATAAACTTGGTGAACAAGAAATCTCAAGTGGTCCGGATACTCATCGAAACTCTGCCGCAAGAATTAAAATAAAATCGATCCTAGATATACGAGTAACGATTGGGTCGGGTACTCCAAGGCTCAACAAATTTTTAAATAGGCTCGATTCATATCGACGACGTCCGGAACAATAAAATAAAACAATCGGCAACCCATGATTATATTATTCTCATAACAATACTATATAATACCACATAATTAAGGCACTCGAGATAATTAAAAAAAATTCTATCAATTAAAATAAAATTGGAAAAAACCAATATTCAAACGAGGCACTACACACGTCCCTCCTAATGACCCTGAATTTGTAGCAGCAACTTCACGAAATGGCTTTGACATTCGATTAATTTGCCAACCCCTAATTCTCTAGGTTTAAATATACTCTTTTTTTTTTCTGAAACGATAGATCAAATTATATAGCACTGAATGCACAGAAATACAACTTGGGATTCGACTGGACCCAATAAAGGAGAGACACCAAGACATAGGTTCTCTATAAATACAAAAACTAGATGACCAACTAAAACAAGGTGAACTTAAAGCACATGTTAAGGCCAAAGGCAACTTTGTAACTCTTAACTTCACAATAGGCCCTCATACTCAATTCAAAGACGTCACAACTGAAACAATCACAATACAGAAACAAAGCAAAACAACAATCTAAGACTAACTAAGCAAAAGAAAGCTGAATCAAAGTAGAACATCACCCAGATATCAAGCAGAATCACCCACTGAGCTCAAAGAACCTAGGAACACTTCACTTCTACCCAGATAGCAATCAACTAACATGATTTTCTCTTAGCAAACTCCTGTCAATCCTTCGTTGTTAGTCTTGCTATGCAATGAGCTGGCAGCCATTCCTTCTTAAAGAGCCAGAGGTTCCTGGCTTCCCAAAGCCACCACAAGATATATATGGTGAGCTCAATTCTAGCCTCAAAAACCTCAAGTTTGTTGACAGAGCACACATCCTGCCACCAGGTTCTAAACTCTGTTGAATTGTAAATGGCAATGTCCCAGTGAATAGGGGAAAATTTTTACACTTCTTTGGCTTTCCTGGAATGGAAAAAGATGTGCTCCACTGACTCAGTGTGCTCCCCACATGATTGGCAGATAGCATCCACAAAAAGTCCTCTTTTTCTGAGAGCTTCTTTGACAGACAGTGCAACAGAGAAGCATTTCCAAAGAAAATGCTTCAGTTTACCTTTCACATTGAGTTTCCATGTTTTGTTCCTAACTTTTCTGAGAGCTTCAGCAGAAGAACTGCCCTCTACAACATCAAGACTTCTGAATTTGTCCCCAACCATCTTAGAGTAGGCTTTAGCAACAGAAAACTCCCCTCTTGCTTCATTATTCCAAGTCCATCTATCCTTCTTGTGAGGGTCCAAAGTTTTTACCCTGAGGATTTTGGCACAGTCCTCTGCATTTAAGAGTTGCCTGAGCAAAGAGACATTCCACGGCCTACCACCAGCTTCCATAAGCTCCCAAACCCACTGTATGTTAGCTTTACAGCTGTTAGAGCTATGAGGCCTTGTCAAGGTGTCAGAGCTGGCCCAAGGGACCTTTCATATATGAGTGGTCATGTCATCACCAATTTTGATCTGAAAACAGTGCTTATACTTCTCTTTGACTGACATCCATGTGGACCATAACCAAGAAGCTTCATGTTTGAAAGTAGCTTGAAAGATGCACCCAGATGGAAAGTATTTACCTTTCAGTAACTTGCTCACTAAGATATTAGGGAATGTTGCAACTCTCCACAGTTGTTTGAGAATCAAGGCATCATTGAATAGTTGCAAATCATGAAAGCCAATGCCACCAAGGAGTTTAGAGAGAGTGACTAGAGACCACCTTTTCCAGTGGACACCAGCAGCATGTCCACCAAAATCCAGCACAGATAGCAGCAATATCCTTACAGATGGATTTGGGCAGTGCAAAGCAAGACATGGTGAAGACTGGAAGGGCAGACAACACTGAGTTCAGGAGAACAACCTTGCCACCAGTGGATAAGAAGTTGTTTTTCCATCTTGAAACTCTGTTTCTGACAGTTTGAACCACATACTCAAAAGTTTAAATATACTTGACCTTGGGTATTTTAGGGTTGCGCAAGGAATATCCATGAACTTGTAAGTGCGGTAGCGACTGCATTCTCCGACTATTCACCCATCAAGCTCAATTGTGTGTGGCTGACATTGCAATTATGTATGAAAGAGATCATGAAAATAGGAGGAGGAAATCGATATAAAATCACTCACATAAACAAAAAAAGGATTCAAAGACTAGGTGAACTTTCTACACAAATTTCATGTGAGTCTACCTTAATGCAAGCGACTAGAGAATTGTTAGCAGCACGACAAGGTAAATCAATGATAATGTTTGCTTCTCGTCTTCATATATTCACTATTATTGATAATATTTTCATTTTCTTGTAGGGAACCGTTCAATTGGAGGTGGATTGTAAGAGCTTTAGTTGAAATTGGTGATGCTTGTTGTTATTGTCAGTTGTTTCTGTAGACTTTGTTTTGTTTTGTGAAATCCGCTTCAAAGACTCTTCTTGTCTTGCTTCTGTTAATGTCAAAATGTGTGTTCTGTGTAGACTTTTTCTGTTTTGTGAGGAGAATTGCATGAAAGATTTGATGATCAAAGAATGAGAATTTTGGCTGTTGTTGGTTTTTATGTTTGCTTAGAGTTGTGTTAAAATGTTGTATGAGTTGTAATTGGAATATATGTGGCTTACTTTAAAGCCCACATTGTAGAGAAAGTCCAAAACCCAAAACATTTGGGTCACATTCTGTTAATAGTTGCATGATAGTGCAGTGTGGAATTATAAAGAAGTCATTATCTCAACTCAATTTAGTGACTCTATAAATAGAAAATCAAACAAAACAAAACAAAATGACGGTCAATGGAACTGAAGCTCAGCCAATCTTCTTCTCTCCCCACTACCTTCTTCAAATCATATGTCAAACATTTCACTTCACTTGCTCAAGTACCCTTTTGTTTTTGTGTTATTATTTGTTATTTTTAATTTTCTTAGAAGATAGTGGAACCACAATGTGTACGTGTGTGTGTGTGTGTTTTATGACTTTACATATCTTTTTTCACTAGATCTTTTTTTGTTGATGATGGCATCATAAAGGTTGAGTCTTGGGATATTAATAAATCAAAAGGGAGGAAGAAAAAATATAAAATTGATGTTGATGCTGACAGGACGTAGCTATGTAGGAGGCTTGGGTGGGCTAGAGCCCTACCTAAAAAAATTAGAACAAGTATCATTGTATTGATATATTTGTATCTTACTTTTATTTTGATTTATTCTAATTAAAATTGAAAGATTTCTCTTACCAATTAGCACATCTTTTTAATCTCAATTAAAAGATTTCACTATGTTAACAATTTTTTAATTTTATTTTCATTAACGACAATAATAAGAAAGTACAATTTAATCACTTTAACAACAGTAAAATTTAATCACTTTAACAACTAATACAAATATTTAGGAGCTTCAAATCATACAACTTTGATTTGAAACTTCTTTTTGGAGAAATAATAACTATGGTGCGTCTTTTAGTTAATTACTTAAATAATAATAATAATAATAATAATAAATTACGAATAAATTTGATATGAAAGTACAATCTTCAAATTTATTTTTTCTTTTGAATTTGATTTGAAATAAAATGATGTGATTCAAAATTGGTAATTATAATTATTGAAGTAACAAAATAATAAACATTTAAATTTCTATATCCCATAAAAACATGCTTAATAAGATCAATATTATCGAAGGTAAACTTTTGGAGTATTTTTCTAAACTTTACTTTAATGTATAATATTACATTTACTTTACAATTCTTACTGGACAAGTATACATATTGAATAAGATAAATAATGTA